TGAGCACAGCAGCTGACCGCATTCAGGAATTTCGCAAAAGACTTCGACCTGATCTCAGGCTGCACGTAAGCATATCTAAAGTGTCGAACATCCACAAAAATTGAATCTCAATTCATAATCACTCATTTGATATCATGCACACGATATATGATTCATTCATGATATTCTCAATATTTTATTCCAAGTCATTTCGATATTCAATATCTCAACATTCAACATTCATATTCAACAATATCCTTAAGCTATGCTTAGTCTAAGGTCAATCTCTTTAATTTTTACCAACTCTTAAACTAATTCTAGTTTAAGGTACTTCTAACCAACTCTTAATCTAGGTCATTAGTTTAAGGTGAATATTTTCCGTCTGACTTTCCAACTCTTAAACTAGCCTTCGCTTAAGGTACACATCCAGATAACCGAACAGTAGAATGCTAACTGCCGGGTTGGGTAGTATCCCCAAACGAATGATCCTCAAGTTTGGTTTATGGACCCCGTACGTACGTTTTACCCAAGGCCACTGAATATACATTTTTATACTCGCAAGGCTCATTCTAATCAGAGGTTTATCTTAGAGGTTTTCTAGATAGCTTTAACCATACGATTCATCAATCCATTTTTCTTCATTTAACAATTCAAAATCGTCATTCAGAATATTCATCATCATTAATTCAACAATCAACCAATCCTCATAATACCCAATAACAAATAGTGGTCTAGCATCGAGTGTTAACACTCTAGCTTATCGTAATGCATCACGTAAGGTCCTTTTAGTTGTCAAAATGCCATTTTTATTCCAAGAATTCATCTTTATATTAATCACAATTGATTGGTATCAAAAATAGGATTTTAGAGCTCAAAAATAGCATTTTTCGTTTCTGACAGTGTTTGGAACGGTCGACCGTTTTCAGGCAACGATCGACCGTTATTGCAATCGTGGTATTGGAGTTTCTGGTCTTAAAACGGTCGACCGTTGTGGCAGAACGGTCGACCATTCTTGCAAACCAGCCAACAACACTTCATCTTCATTCTCGTGTTAAATTTTCGAAACATCATTTTAAGTCACCAATCTTATATTAAACTATATAGAAATGTTCTCTAATGTTCATAGATCATTTAAATACCATTAATTCCAAGTTTTTACAACAATTTCAAGGTTGATGATTCTTGGTTCTTCAAGCTTGTCAAACACAAAACTGAACCAAATGACCATTTATGAATGTAGAAACGACCTATATGAACATTCTAGTGATTAGATATATCTACGGGCTTACCTCGAAGCTAAACGAAGATTCCAGCAAAAGAACGGCGAAACTTCTGGCGACCTCTCACGAAAATGGCAGCACCGGTGTGTTCTCCTCACTCAGGGCAGCAGAATAAAAGGAAGAATTGAAGGATTTTGTGAAAAAATGGAGGAAATTATGTTACCTTATATAGAAGTGAATAGAGGAAGAAGCCAAGCTGGGTTGTTTCCAATTCCTATTCCGGCGGCTGAGTGGAGTGAGCGGAGCCGTTCTGGGATTTTGTATATTATCTCTGATTGGGACTACTTTGGTCCCGGTCGGGGTTTACTTTTTGGTTCAACTTTCTCCAAATTGAAATCCGATTAAACCGTTAGGATCAGACAGTCAAAGTCTAAATAATGATATAATTTTCATTATTTATTGAAAAACTTTATAAATCACTTATTCTTTTGGGTTCTTCTGAGTAATTAATTAATTATTCATTAATTAATTCTAATAGGCCTATTTTTGGGGCATTACATTTTTACTATTGTTGTTTGCAGGACAACAATGTGTCAATAGTAGTCTGATGTTATTTTTGGCGTAGTAATGGTATTTTACAATATACAGATCCTGACTACTGTCGGTTCGGTAGTCTATTTTTTTTACTACAGTAGTCTATTTTAGGCGTAGCAAACAGTAGTCTATTTTTTTTACTACTAGCGGTTCGATATAGTTCAGGATGAATTGATTTCGGTTTTGGTAAATATTGGGATTAATATGTATAGGTACCTAGTTTACACATTGAAATGTACAAAACTCTTTAGTAAAAAAAATCAAAAGCACATTCAAGTAAACAAAGATAATAAAAAATTAAAAATTGAGTTATTAAATCTAAGAAATGCTTATAAAACATAGTTTAGCTAGTTTATACATATTTCAAAAACAAAAGAGAATGAATGATAACAAAAGAATATATCGAATGCTTGTAAACTTTTTTATATTCATCTACAAAAAATTAAAATTCAATTAAATAATTATTTAAATAAAATATTATTTGTAATTGATCTACACTTAAACCAATTTTTTTAAAATAAATTTATTATTTAATGAAGAAATATAAAAACATTATTATTTTTATAATATATTTTTATATATGTTCGGTTCGGGATTTTTCTGTATGAGAAGTTACCGCTTGCCGATCCCAAATACCGGACCGACCATTTGGTTCGGTATGGTACAGTTCTTTTTCGGTATTTTATCGGTTAGGTCTTTTTTGGTTCGGTAATCTCGATATTTTCAGGAATATTCAGTATCGGTTTGGTACATGCTCACCCCTACTCGCAGTTTTAAACTGTAGAGTTATTGCCAAGCACATGAATTACTTTTCATTAATGTGGGGGATTGTTGGAATTTTGGCTTGTAACAGGATAACTTGACACGCAAATTCGGTGGATTCCACAATATTATTTCTCCAAACTAATTATGGACAATAAATTTCTCAAGTGAGACAAGTGTTTCAATATATTGTGCGCCAAAAATGGTGCTCGGTTGAATGAGAAATTTATTCACAATGTCAAACACTTGGAAAAATTGAAACTCACGTATCCCCCATCGGATTTGAAACCTTTCATCCTCCACTATTTGTATCCTCGCATTGAATTGCATGATAAAACAACTTGAGAAGGAGGAAAGGAAGGACCTCTCGCTCCTGCTGCCTTCAGTTTGGTTCGGCTTGGCACGACACGCACGCGCGTGCGTGCGAATGCGAATTCCTGCATGCACGTTAGCTAGTACAGGAGGCGGGTGATACTACCTTAAAGAAAGCTCTGGGACTACGCTTTCTTTAACGTTTGCATGTTCTTTCCGACCACCACTCTGCACACCGAGAAGCTTGAGGATTTGTTTGTCTTTGGATAACCGGCGTCCCTTCATTTTATTTTATTTTATTCAATTTTTCTTCCATTGTGAAATTTGAACATACTAAAAGTTCAGTTATTTCATGTTATTTCATTCCCGCTCTCATCTTGTATAACGCATTATTGACACAGCTTATGGGGGTAGAATGTCCTTGAAGATATATAGCCCCTGATAGGCGTGTCGTACCACCTACAAATTAATTTATTATTTTTCTTAACTTAAATCCCCATTTATGAATTAATATTAGTTAAAACACATATATAGGGCAAGTAAGGGTCGATCCCACGAGGAAAGATACTTTTTTGGCTATGAAAATCAGTTCACTTGTCACTTTTATTGAATAAAAACTAACTAAAATCTAAAAACTAAAACTAAAGGATATGGGGGGGTTGAATGATAATTCTAAAAAGATATAAAAATAAATAAAATAAAGATAAAGGATAACACACAAGAGATAGAACAACAACGGCAACTCGAAACTCAGAAGTAACACTCAGGGATAAAACAAACACACATTTAAACTTTATAAAAACTTAGACAATAATAATTAACGTAAACCATTTTGAAAATACTTAAAGTTTTTAATAGAAAATAAACTGAACAAATATGATTCCTTAATTCATTATGCCTTGATTCTGAAATAAAACTGTTAATCTCAGGGTTAAGCTGACGAAGAGCTCCACCAACGGTTCTTCCCTATTTTCCCATTCATATTAGTTCATGTTAAGACCAACCCTAACTCTAAACCCTACTACCCTTAGCAACCCAAAGACCAACCCTTAAGTTACTACTAAGAATAGCGCATTAAAATCTTTGGAAAACATCACCATAACAACTTTGCAATAACACTACGGTTATTTAACAAAATCAGTTCGAGAACCTTGATTAATAAAAGCCACTTTGCGAGGCAGCAAGTATTAATCAAGTGACATTTGGTTTCTAGAAAAGTTCGGCTATTTAAAGCACTTTGCACTTTAAAAGAATATGATTTTAAACTGGATTAGGCGCGCGTTCCTAATTTGGTCCTATTTAAGTAAAATCAGTGAATAATAGTTCTCAAAACACTTTTTCGAGTTTAGATTTAACAATAGCATAGAGCTAAAATATCTTCAAAGTCAAACTAATTCAACCAAAACAATCAAATCAAAGATTCAATCTATTTTGTCAAACAATTTAGCCTAAGAAGATTTTATAATTTCAGAGACAATAATCAATCAAAAAATCAAATCTGAACATTTAAACATCAACAC